TGATGGCGCAGCCACCAGTAGACTGGGAATCGAAGGTGTATGGCCACAGGGGAGGATCAATCTTGTCGGTTGGGTAGGAAGAATCCCATGTGAATCCATCATCCTTAATGAGGTTAACGAAGTCGCTTCCCTTGGTCTGCAGGTAAGCAGATCGCACTCCCTTGATGGCACTGGCCGGGATGCCAGAGAACCTACTGAACATGGCGCGCTGTCCGGCATACTCAGCAGAGAGTTCGGCATCTGAAGCCTGGGCCCAGTACTCTGATGGCAGCTGCTTTCTACAAGTTAAGTAAAAACATACAATATGATACCACGTTTGTTTAATTATGAATGTGAAATATTACTAGCTGCATATAGCATTTATTTATACATTTACTTCCAGCTAGGGCAGCATGCGCATTTGTTCAAGCGTCGAAAGCGCAGTTCTTTTTCAGTTTCGTGCTAGCAGGTTTGGCGCATATCGGCCGGTTTTCACTATGGTCACTAGAAATCGCAGATCATTGAGATTCTAGCAGATGTTAAGTTCTCTGCATCGTCTACCTCCTGTATTTTAGCGGCGTTCTTGCCTTCATTCACCCTATAGTCCTCAATATCCGATTCTCCACTTATCCAACATTCTAACTTCTTATACATTCTATACATCTATCTGCTCTTCCGTGAACAAAAGTCCACATAAGTGACTTTAACCAATAGAAGAGCGGTATGCGACACGAGTATTCAATTAAATAATATAACAATGCTGCTAATTGCTAGACTCTAACATTTAATACAGCAAGAAAGCATTACTTACGTGATAGAGAATGAGGCGATCTCATTTCCCTCGGCGTACATCGACTGGACTGCTGCGTAATCAGTGAACTGATGGCTAGTGAAGAAAGTTGCGGTTAACGGGCAACCATTGGGGTTCGTTCGTGGTTCTCTTTGTCTCTGGGCATTCACCTTCTTGAGGATCTAAAGCCAAGATTTTATAGGGATTAATTCATATGAAATTTGGGAAGAAACAATATTATAAACGTATCAGACTAATCTTGCCGTAACTTGTTTTGAGATTATAATAAAATTACCTGCTGGAGAAGATGGTTGTAGTCCTCTACTCTCAGAGCACCATCCCAGCCAATCATAACCAGCTGCGGAATCTCATTTATCTGGAGATTTCCTGGAGCGTCTGGGCTACTGCACTTGCAGTCTGGCAGTCTGCAGGCGTTAGGGTCACAGATCGGAGCACAGCCCTCTTCGTCCTCTCCATTGTTGCAATCAATAACTCCGTTGCACATGTTTCTTGGGTCGTAGCACGCAGCT